CCCCGGTTCCGGGGCGAGCGCTGCCCCAGCGAGCGCCTGCTGCGGAGAAACGGCGGCACGAGGGCCGGGCAGCGCAGCCGTCCTACCTGTCGCTCGCCCCCGTGGGTCTGGAACCTGGGCTGGGCAGGAAGGCAAAGGCACCAGGCCCCAGTACAAAGCGGTAACCGCTCGTATTTTGAAGGGGGGGGCACAAGGATTTCTCAGACGCTGCCTCTTCCTTCACCCCAACGTCGCTGCTGCCTCCTGCAGCGCTGCCAGAGGTAGGTGCCATGCGCTCACCCACGCCGTGCCGTACCCCTTCCCCGTCAGCATCGCCTTTGCCACCTCCTCTCCCCGTCGCTCAGCTCTTTGAACGCTAGGCCGCAGCCATCAGCTCTGCAGGTGCCACACAGAGCCAGCTCCACCCCGAGACACGCTCCCCCCTCCGTCAGCACCCAGCTGAAGGCGGCGTAACTCTGGAAGCGCAGTGGGAGCCTTGTATGAACCCCCTGCCTATCCCATATGTCTTTGGTCCCCGCACTGCAGGTTGGTGCGCTGCTGTCACAGGTGGTTTCTGTTCCCCTGAGCAGGGTCAGCCACCTTGTTACCACACAGCTGCTTCCACACCGGCTCTGCCCCAGAGGGAGTTTTTTCAGGGGTGGGAAGAATCACGGTATGGTTTGGGTTGGAAAGGACCTTAAAAGGTCGGCTAGTTCCAACCCCCCTGCCATGGGCAGGGACACCTTCCACTAGACCAGGTTGCTCCAAGCCTCATCCACCCTGGCCTTGGACACTTCCAGGGATGGGGCATCCACCGCTTCTCTGGGCAACCTGTTCCAGTGCCTCATCACCCTCTCCAGGAAGAACTTCTTCCTGATATGCAATCTAAACCTCCCCACTTTCAATTTAAACCCATTACCCCTTGTCCTGTCACTACAGGCCCTTGTAAAAAGCCCCCCCCAGCTTCCTTGTAGCCCCTTCAGGTACTGGAAGGTGCTATAAGGTCTCCCCGGAGCCTTCTCTTCTCCAGGCTGAACAAGGCACACACAGAGTTACGGGGTGGGGAGAGAACACATATTTTTGTGTTCTTGCGACAGCAGAACAGACACACACAAAAAACCCCTCTTTAGATACTCATAGTGACCTCAGCTCTCACCAGTTAAACCTGTGTCCCTAATGCCCGTTTCATGCCGGGCCAGCGGAACCAGCGCCTCCCGTACCAAGCCAGGCGTTCCCGCCTCACGGTGAAGACTGGTCCTGGTAAGAAACACTGTGCCTCTGGAAGGGGGCAGGGCATTTGTAACGAATACACTTTACCTGGAGATGGGAAGACAAGAGGTGGAAGGTTGATCCATTCACACAAACGCCACCCCATGTTCTCTCCCGTTCCCTGATCAGGAGTCGGAAAGCCAAAAAAAGAAGATCCGGGATGTCCTTCGTAGAACTTTTTCTGACCCCCCTGTGAAGCGGTGCGCACATAATGACCCACCAGCGATGCACCATCCCTCCGGCATCACCCGTGTGACTGCGTCCCACCCTCCCGCAGCCTCCAGGCTCGGCAGCGCCATGACCCAGGAGTCGGCCTGCCCAGATGCCTTTGCTCGATGCAGGCGCCCATCGCTGATAAGGGCAACGCGACACCAGCCATCACCACCTCGGTCACTCTCCCCCTACGCGTACAGCCCCGGCTGCTGCCAGTGCGCCCCCAGGCGCCTGCCCCCCCAGCCCGAGGGCAGAGCCCCAAGACGGCAAGGAGAGGAGGCAAATGGGCTGCCACAGCGTCGAGTACTTCCCGGCTTTCCCTGCTCTGGGAAGGGGGAGATGCCACACCCAAGCTCCGGGACACAGCAGTGGTGGTACCTGTGGGCATTCAGCACCGCACACCCCCGCTGCTGCAGGAGGCGGCTGGAAGGCACAGTCACCCCCTTCATCCTGCCGCAGCAGCCGACCTGGAGCACAGCCTGAGGCCCGGGAGGGGGCACAGGCGGGCAGAGACTTGCACCCGCAGGTGGCTGTGCCTGCCCAGAATGTGGGCTTGGAGTGCTTCTATGGCATCCTCATGGTGCTACCAACAGCCACTCCATGGGTGACACACTACTCCACGGTCCAGTGTCTGGAACGACAGCCACCTACCTCCATGGAATCCCCCTTACGATGCCGACAGGGGCCCGCATCAACACCAGTAACCAACTCCATCACCAGGGCTAGACGCCCATGTCTGAGCAGTACCAGACACCAGGGTGACAGCCGCAGTGGTGCACAGCAGGGATGCTGCTGGCAAGCTTTAGGAAGTTAAACACCCAACTCCCAGCTCCGCCTGCTCTCCTTAAGGAGAGACCTGCACCGCACGCTCCTGCCCAGCTCCAGGAGGAGCCATCTCCACCAGCAAACCCAGGCTGCTGCCGGCCCACAGCTGCCCCCAACCCCCCCTTTTGGGTGCCAGAGGCCTCCCCACCACAGGCACACACACCCCATGCAGCCCCCGTGACACTCCATCCCCTTTCACAGCAAGGGGGTATTCCCTGCAGAGCAGCAACCATCCATCCTTCAGCTCCTGAGCCCTGGCCGCAACATCCCGAGGGCGTCAAGCCCTTGCCACAGGGTTCTGCCGCAGGAAAGCGCGTGACAAGGCGCACACGCAATGTACCAATGGAAGCGGGGTCTCAGGCTGGAAGCAGCCTGCTGGATGCCGCTGGTGCCTGGGAAGTGACCTGCTGACAGGATGAAGCCCAGGCCCCGCTCCTCCTCATCCGCGTTTGGTCCGTACAGACGGCAAGACCAAGGTGTGTTTGCCCAGCGAGTTTATTACACGAGCATGGAACCTACGAGTGCTGCAACCTGGCCCGGGGGAAGCCCCGGCACGCCAGGAGCCTGCTGCGCTTCGGGGAGCGGTCTTGACAGAGCTGGCAAGGCCCCTCCCCTCCAATCCCGCCGCACACGAGCTGTGCTCGGGATGTGACCACTACCGCGTCTTCCGTAGAGGGAACAGGGGTTCCAGGCGGTGAGTTACACATGATGGTTACAGCAGATGCTTTAGCAGAAGGCTACAGACAGCCCGGCAGGGTCACCGTAACTGCAATGAACAGCACAGGAAACGCAGTCGGTCTTCGCCGGGCTCGGCGACGCGCAGCAGGCAGAGTGGTGATGAGATGAAGTGACAGATCTTTTGCTCGCACAAGGGAGGGCAAGCACAGCATTTGCAACGAAAGACAGCCCGTCCATCACCCCTCTTACACACTTCAGGTACAATACTTAACTCTTCGCTATCCCGATTACACCACAAGCCAGACGAGGGCCAGCATTTCCAGTTAATTTGCTCTCGTTATCTCCCCCTCGACCCAGGTCATCGCGTTTCTCATGGACCTAGAAAGAGAAATGGAAGTACCATAACTCAGGTTACTGCACAGCTCGCCAACGCCCTTTACCACTCACGCCGACAGCGAGGGGCAGGGTGGGCGTTACACCGAGAACCTGTTCCGTGATGCCCTGCCCGACTGATACTCCCGCTAAGAACTGAAGACTAGGCTTGTCCAAAAAGGTTAAGTTGCCTCCAGATGAATCTGACTGAACCCGAAGTCAAACCAACCCCCATCCTTCCTAGAGCTGTGACAGGCCCAGCTTGGACCCGGCATGGCAGTTCTCCCTCAGAACACAAGGCTGACCCCTGCACGCCGCCGGGCTGCCAGGCCACCAGCCCAAGCCTGCTTCCTGCAGGAGCAGGGCTATCCCGGCACACACCAGAGTCCCAAGGAAAACACAACGGACAATACCCGTGGGCAGCCAAGTCAGCTCTGCCTCCACGCTTCCCAGGGAGGTTACAGTGCCAAGCGGGTGGCTGGCGGGCCCGCGCGGGCAAGTGGTGCCATGAAGCACCCAGCACCACGCCAGAGCGCCAGCTCCTGCCTCACGTCAGGTCCCGTGGAAGGAGCCCAAGTGAAACGGAGAGGGACACCCCGGGAAGGCAGGCAGCAAGGACCTCCAGGCAAGGCAGTGCCGTACCACTGCCCAGAGTGCTTTTGGACAGGGCTTCGGAGAGCTCCCCACGCTGGAAATCCTGCACTGCAAGTTCCCTGACACTCGGCAGGGACAGGCCTCCAGCACCAGGAAGTCTCGGCTCAGTGCCGAGGCTGCCCCAGAGCCCCCCAAAGCGCCTAAGGGGGCGCCGAGACACTCACCACCATGGTACGCCCGATGATGCTGTACGGTCCGCTGAGAGAAATGAGGGGATCCTCTATGTCCACTTCCGCCACTCCGCCTTTAGCGTGCACGTTGCCAAGGTCTCCCACGTGCCTGCACCAAGAGGCAGAGAAACTCATGGAAAACCAGGTTGAACGGAAAGCTCTAAGCGACAGCCTGGACACCACAGTCCCCATGGTTACTATGCCCAAGTTCTCCACTTTACCTTAAAGGGCACAGATGTCCTTGCTTACGGACACCGGTCAATCCTGAACACTTCCACTATCCTAACACCCGTGGTCTGAGGGACAGTTAAATTCAGTCCCAGGCACAGCTTGAAGCTGGAAGGTTAGTCAGCTCTGGGGAAAGGAATGCCACCGGGCCCCAGCAAGCCAACAGCACACAACTCCACGCTGATGGCATCTCCCTCTGCACAAAGCAAGTCTCCCACACCAGGGGAGGTCACCTTTCCTGCATGTACAAGGCTAGGTTTGAACACTCCTGCTGTTCTCAAGAGCTATTAATGCCCGTCACAAATCAGCTATTGCACACACAGCCGCAGACTCCAGGTTTAAATAGGATTAGTAAAGCCAGTTAAGTGGCAGGTCAAAGAGGATGCATCAAGTGCCAGCTAACTTCGCATCAGCACCAGGGACGACTGCTGGAGCTTGCCTGGCATCGTGCCCTAGTACAGTTTGTCAGAGTCAGACCTCCACAAGGGCTTCCCTCAAGGATTAAGCCTCAAGCAGGTCAGTTTTCACTGAACTTCTGGACATTCCAGCCTATTTTTTCTTCACACATCTGCCCCAAATAAACACTTCGCTCAAGAGACAAGTTTATGTTCTGCAACTCTTCTATCCAGGCTCAGAACCCCGAGTACCAACTTGTTTCTGAAGCTCTCCAGGGTGACCAGCTCAGCTCCCCGAGAGCTGACTGACCACTTCTTCAACAGCACAGCACTAACTCTGTTTTTCTAACCAAAGCCCTATAAAAATCAGGTCAAGGGCAGTTTTCCCTTTAGGAATTTGCTCGATTCAAGCTTCAGTCCAATTGTTTCAACCCTACAGTGATAAAACCACAACCTAGTTATTATACCCTCCTAAGCAGTTCCCCAGCCTACAGCTGCCTGAGCCAGCAGGTTACCCCAGAAGCGGGATTTGACAAAGCAGAACCAGCAGAAGCCGCGATGTTCGTGCAGTTTCGACCTTTAGCACAGGCGCAGTTGGCCCCGAGGGCACCATCTCGTGCTGCCCCACCACCCGGATGGCTGGCTAGCAGCCAGCCTGCTTGGCCTGGCATGCAGCCCATCACTCAGGTGTGAATTTATCAGTCACAGGAGGTGTAGTTATGGACAGGTTGGTCCCAATGCTAGTCCAGACCCCACCTGTGCAAGCCCAGCCCATCTTTTACACTGGCTCCTAGCTGCACTCACTACCCCATGGGCCTTCAGCTCTTGTTCAGCCCCCTCCCAGCCAGCATACTCCTTGCACCAGTTGCTCAGGAATCACCTCTCAAACATGCAAGGGTTCCCTGAAGGTAACTGGGCTATGAAAACTGCTTCCAGAAGAAAAACTAGGTCTCAGCTCCCACTGAGGTACAGAGATCCCCATCGTAAGCATCAGGCCCCGTACTAACAGGCAGCACACAAGGCCTGAGGAGCACATACTGCAGGTAATGCAGCACCTAAGATAACAGGCCAAGCACAGCCCAGCACACCCAATAAAAAGCCACCACGCCTGGGCACACAGCTCTGTTTATCTTGCAGTCTCCCCCACAGCCTCAGCACCTTCCACTGATGATCCCGATCTGCCACAGGACAAGCCCGCATGCAGCCCAACAATGGACAGTTCAGGGCCCCTGTTGTCAAAAGCTGACCCCAAAACAGAAGCAAATTGCCACTGACCAATAAGGCTTTGAGACATGAATCCCCGACTCTCACACACCGTGAGGAACCTTCACTCAACAAGAGTCTTTATTTCCTCTTCTTCCCCAGGCTACGATAAAACCATGAAAATGTCACAACAGCTACATTTTGCCCACACTCTTGGAGCCAAGGTGTCTAACAAATCACTGTACAGCTATCACAACCTTTAAGTGACCCTACAAGTCCCGCAGGAATCACCTGCGTACTTCCAGTGTTGTCCTAGCATTGTGCATGCCGTGACCTCCAAGCCCACGGCAGCACTTCGACAGCCACGCAGGGAGTAGCGACTCAGTAAGAAGGTGGGCACACCAAACTCACCTTTCTGCATCACCTGGTCCACCATGCTGCTTGCCTTCAGGATTGAAGTGAGAACCGGCACTGGTACACCCTGAAACAGAACATGGCCATCATAAGCAGGATTTTTGGAGTAGCCAGTTTACCTCTGTTGCTTACACACTACAGCAAGGTTCCTCCTATAGCCAGGGGAAGTCACTGATGATGAAATTGCTACTCTCCTGTCAGGTGTTCTACCAAGCTTCTGGAGGTAAGTAGCCTACTACAGGCTTACAAGTTCAACAAAGTAGGATTACTGCCATGGTTTAACCCCAGCCAGCACTTAAGCATCACACAGCTGCTCACTCGCTGTCCCTCCAAGTGGGATGGTGGAGAGAAAACTGGAAAAAGCAAGACTTGTGGGTTGAGATAAATGCAGATTAATAGGACAGAAAGAAGGGAATAATAAGGACAAAAATATGTAAAACAAGTGATGCGCAATACAGCTGCTTACCACCCACTGACCAATGCCTAGCTGGCTCCCAACATGCAATTGCCACCCCCAGCCAACTCCCCCCAGTTCATATACCGAGTACAGCATCGTTATGTTATGGAATATCCCTTAGGCCAGCCTGGGCCAGTTGTCCTGGCTGCACATGAGAACCTGAAAAGTCCTTGTAGTAGTGTAAGCGCTACTTAACAACTAAAACAGTGTTATCAGCATTATTCTCACACTAATTCCAAAACACAGCACTGTACCAGCCACCAGAAGTAAACTCACTCTATCCCAGCCGAAACCAGGCTACTTACTCGTTCTAGAACACTCGAGACTCAGCTGAAAGCTTTCTTATTTCTTAACACTAGATTATCGAATTATTTAGGTTAATGCCTGGTATGTCAGATCTTGAACACCAGCCTAAACATGTTCAAAGGATTAAAATGCGGAGCAATTCCTCAGGAAATGTCATCATTTCCTAACACAGATTTGGAGTCATGAGACCCGAGTACACATTCACTAGCTGCTGCTGCAACACCAGCGGCAGCTCTTCAAAGCTGAGCAATCGCACTGTAGCTGTAACCCGAAGGTTTGGATAGACATCTTACCGTTGGTGTTGTCACCGAATTCATGGACATGGAAGCCATGATCTCCATCAGCCAAGCCACTGATTTTTCCAGTGACTTTTACTGGTCCATTACCCTTTAACAGAAAGGATTTGTTATTGCCAGACTGACTAGAGCGTGAAACAGCCTTGTCTCAAGCGAAGCTTCCCTGTCAACAGAAAGCATCAGAAACTCCACTCTAAGTTCACTACCACAACACGAACGATAACCCTCCCACGCCAACTGAATCTGCAGGGCAATACAGCTTTTGACAGAACGGCTGCATTTATTCAGCCGCCTAAAACGTGCTTTTCCTACTACGCACCGGCAAGGGAAAGGAATGCCTTTGATCAGGCTGCTTGCTTTTGAGAATGATCTGGAAGCACGAGTGACCCTGAGGACGCTCCGCCTCACCCGCACGCAGCCCCGGCTTCCCTGCCCAGCGTAAGCGCCCCGGGAGCGTCCAGACGGGCTCTGGCCACCCGGCCAGTAAAGCCCCGTTAGTCCCTGCTCCCAGAGCGGCGAAGCGGCTCCGCAGCAAGCCCGGGGCCGGCGGGGGGCTGAGCGCCGCGGGCAGGGCG